GCTGCGCGACCCCCGCCCCCGTCGCCCTCACCCCTGGGCCCCGAGGACAAAGGTCTGGCGAGGTCCGTCCCTCCCCCAGCGCGGACGGCGGGGGAAGACCCGCGGGTGGCGTGCACGGGTGAGCGTCCTGCCCCTTCTGCAGACAGTCCTGACTCTTCGCGCTGTGGCAACCTTTCCCTTCTGTATTTAAAAAGAGTAAACATAAAAGTTTGACAGTCTGCTTAAGGACGTCTGGTAACTCGTTTGTCACTGTAGGCACGGGAAACACTTTCTTCTGAAACCTGATTTAGCTGGAGTCGGCTAATTGAATGCGCTAGGCGGCTTGCTAAAAGATGCGTGACAAATGGCAACTTCACACTCAGATGTAATCAAACTGGCTGTTTTGATTTTGAAAAATAAATTTAAGAAAAACAGATTCCTTTGCCCACCCCTTTTTGCCTATAAATTGGAAAGCTTACTTCACATGACTGAAATCCCAGGCACCAATATTTAACGATGTTTATAATGGATATATGGATAGGCTGCTTTCAAATGTGAAGATGAATGACATATTTTGAAAGCATTTCCTCTGCCCGCGCTGGCAATGCAGTTAGGGAGGCTTTCTCAATTTCTCCCTTGGTCCTGATGATCCAGGATGCAGGTTCTACAGTCCAAAGTATAAACGATGCAGTCTTAAGATCCAAACCTCCTAAATGCTAGAAATGGCAATATTGCCGTTTTTTGGAGAACAGGCATTCGTTACCCTAAGAATTTAAATATCCAGCTTTACATTTAAAAAATTGATTAAAGCAAAGAAACTAAATTGCACTAAGGCAATTAATTGTCTTTCTGGGTAGATAGCATCTTCCGGCAAAGCGAAGGGCAAAACTACTGTTAGCCGATTCTGAAGAAGAAAGAACAGTAGCTTGAAGAGCTGAGCAAGGGCAGGACAATGTTTTGAAAGCTGGGGAGATGAAATTGTATGAATTACTGTCAAGTGCTCTAAAGCTGGGGGGAATAATCGTTTAGAGGGTAGGTGTGGAAGGAAAGATGATTA